TGGTTGAAACTCTTGTTTGTGCTCAGCTCTCATATGCTCCGCCTCCTCTTTTGTGAAGAGAGGTGCCTATTTATACATTTGAGGTGTAATAAGTGCTTTTGCAAGTTGTCTTAACATGTAAAAACCACTCATTAATCATTATCTTAAAATGAGATAGAATTGATATAAACTATCTCTTTGAGGCGATTTGGGTTTTGATAGCTAATACTACTTTGTCTTTGAGTGTTTGTTAAGCTCTAATTAGTGGTACTGATATAGTGTATATTTTTGACACAACATTTATGAACTAATTATAAGATGTAATGATGTGTTGTGTTGGTGGCTTCTCAATTCTGAAAAGTCTTTCAAAAGATAAGAGAGGATGATAGTGCTGGGAGTATGAGTTGGAAAATTTGTTTTCCTTAAATTTTGTCTTGTGCCTAACAATTTGAGACAAATACATTGACTCGTTTAGTGTGGCTGCTTCTTTTAGGGGGTTTAAAATTAGAATAATGTTACACTTACGTCACTCTTTTATACAATTTTTACTATATCATGATGTGATATATGTCACAATTACATAAATTTTTAATATTATGATAGAATTTGTGTGGTTGTAGTATATGCCACATGATGATGTTTACAAAATGATGTAAATATAGCATTACTCTTAAAATTAAAGCTGATACACAATTTTGATTGGACTGTATTAATTACACAAATTTCTTTAACCAGGAATGAGGAATAACAACCAGTGTTATTGTGATAGTAAATTATGTTGGAGTAACACCTGTTATATACGCAATGATCCCTCCCCCCTCCCTTTTTTTTTAATATCCTTATTTTTTTTTTTAATTTTAATTGAAGAAAAATTAAACTTGAGAATAGTAGTATTAGATAACTGTATTATCATTGTTTAATTATGAAAATTTGACAAAACTAATACTGGGATTGAATTGATGGAAAATGAAAGTTCTGTGTGTCGTAGTGTGGTATCACATCAAGCTTCTAATCTTCACATCGCATGACATCTTTAAAAGAATATGTCTAAGATCGAAGATGCATGCCCCACGTTCAATTAGGTGAGATTTAGACTTAAAATAATTATAAAATAAACGGGCGATGTGCTTAATTTTTTAACATAAAAATTATTTGACATCTACCTAAATTTCAGGGATCCCACTTCCAATTTAATTATTTTGTCTACTATAGAAAAAATATTAACCGACATGCCCTACCACCCATTGGTCAATATCCATCAGCTCTAAATTATAAGAACAAAAATTTAAGGCCCAGCGAATTGTACCTACCCAAAGTTTGACAAAACGACATAGTGGTATCCAAAAGGTTTCAAAATAACAAACAGATACCTTTCATTAGTAAAAAGACTAGAATGCCTTTTGAGAAATATCAGTCTGTTTTTTTAATTATTTTTAGACCCCTTAAGTTTATTAATTCCATCAAATACCCCCAGAAAAAAGTTTAAAAATTAACAAAAACACTCTTATCCACCCATACTTGCCAGATTCTCATGGCCATCACCGTAAATGGCCAGTAATTCACCGATCTGGCCTTTTCCAGCCAGATCTATAGTGGATCTGGCCGGAAAAGGCCAGATCTGATGTGAAAATGCCAGATCTGGCCGGAAAGTGACAGCTAAAGAAATGGCCGTCGTTGACAGACAACGACGGCCACATCTTTGGCCGTCACTGAAGGCCAAAGATGGAGTGTTACGGCTGTCGACGGCCAGATCTGGCCATATTAGTGGTGGATCTGGCCGGAAAAGGCCAGATCGGTGAATTACCAACCATTTCCAGTGGTGACGTAGACCGTTGTGACAGATTCCAGTGGCCGTCGGAATCTGGCAAGTATGGGTGGATGGGGGTGTTTTTATTAATTTTTAAACTTTTTTGTTCTGGGGGTATTTGATGGAATTAATAAACTTAAGGGGTCTAAAAGTAATTAAAAAAATAGACTAATATTTCTCAAAGGGCATTCTAGTCTTTTCACTAATGGAAGGTAACTGTTTGTCTTTTTGAAACATTTTTGGTACCAATCTGTCGTTTCGTCCAACCTTGGGTAGGTGTAGTCGTTTCCCCTAAATTTAATATATAAACTAATCGGGATATTATATTTACATCCCTTGATTTTAGAAATTGGCACAGATCAAAACCCCGACAGTGACAGATAGTAGCCTTCCACCAAAAATATATATATATATATAACACATAATTGTACCTCCCTCTGTATTTTATATTAACCAATTTATCCTTAAAATTTAAAGAAAATTACAAAATAAAGAGAAAAGGAAGTTGTCCAGCTCACAATAGAGTATAGATTATATCCTTTCAAAGCTTCAATCAAATTATGTTGTCACAATCTTTCCATTTTTTCAGTTTATCAAATTAATATAATAAATATGCGGATTCCGTGTATCAAATAATATCAGAGAAATGAAAATGGGCAAGTTTGATAATTTTGCAACTTCAACAAATTCTTTGTAATTGTATGAAACCTCAAGGGGGTTAAAAAATTATCCCTTTACAGTCAATGAGTGACGCGATGCGTTTTTGACACTTCATAGCTTTCAAAATCCATGGCCAATGTAAAATTTATTTGAAGTTTAGAGATGATTGGCTCAAAAAATTGGTCCAATATGTTGGTGACCACCTCCAAATTTTACAAACTATATAGTAAATTAATTTATGGGTCCACCAACGTATTTTGAAATCGCTAGAATCTACAGTTAAGGTGTTTTATAAGTTACAATCAGCCTAGCTAGTATTATTTTGTAATTAACTTAAAGCCTAAAAAAACAAGAAGATAAAATTGATGGGTGCGTCCAAATCGGATATTTAGAGCTAACGTTCTTTTAATGAAATGTGCAATTAAAACTATAGTATAAAAGACAATTTGGTAAAAATTCGAATTAATGATATGTCAATTTAATTCTCTATGAAGTATCTATCTTTCTATTTTGTTTATATTAGTTTCTAATATAATGCCATAATGGGACTAACTCTCAAGCTAAAGATCTATTTAGGCTCCACTCTACCTTTACGTCTAATCAAATCCAAATCCTTATTTCTTGTTTTATCTATCTTAAAACATGTATAAGAATTTTTTTAGAAATTATATTTAAAACAAAAAACACATAAATTTCAAATCAAATATTACTATAAAACAAATGTTAAGAGATTGTGATAAAGAGAATATGAAAGTTAATTAATTTATAATATAGCATCCAATTCTGAATTTAATTTGAAAATATATCTACTCTCAAGACTCCAAAGTTTTATAAATTATTATATATATTTTTTTTTTTTGTAACCAGGGTGTCCGGGCCAGTTTATGTGCACCTCAACCAGTTTTCACGATTTATTGGACACCATACAGGCTTAAAAAATCAGATAAGTCACAATATTATTGTGGTAGATTGCCATAAAATTTAAACCCAAAAACTCAAGTAAAGAAACAAGCCTCCTTAATGGCACGCCAATCTCTTGGAGTTTATATAAATTATTATCATAACATGATATATATGATATCAATATTGAATAACTATCTTTGACCAAATGAAATCAAAATTGTCAAGCAAATAAAAACAAAATATTTCTCTTATTTGCACTACCTAAACTCTCCACATAGCTTTTCCATTGAAATTTTGGTTCATAATTTGCCAACTACCATACCAACTTTGATCTTGAATTGAAGCCACCATTGCTTTTTCGCTGTTCTCGACTATGCATTACGTGTTTGGTGCAATCTTTCATCACTGTAATTAGGAGGAAATCCATTACCAGTTTCTTCAAGATAAGTCAAACCATGAATGAATTAGGAGAAGCCCAGCTACATTGCTTGAACTTAATTACATTTGTATTTTACTGTAATTAATTTGTCCTATTGCTTTTTTGTTTTTTTGTTTCCAAAAACATGAAGATAAACTATAACAGAAAAATAGTCAAAGCTTTGCTTTTTTATGTTTGTTTAGTCTTCACCTACTCTTCCATACTGATATGTTTATGGCATAAATTGGAATAGTAGTTCAGATCAATAATACTGCCGGTGGCAGCCTGGCACCGGCAACGGCATGTGAGAGGGGCCTTGTTAAAGGGATGAAATTGAAATATAAAGAGAAATATTAATTATTACCACTGCATGGGTGCTGGCTTTAACGTATTTATTGCTCTGTTATTTTTCTTCATCTCCAGTTGTCTAGACGGGATGGAGACGTTCTAACATGTGTACCATACATTAGAAGAATTTGATATAATTCCAGAGTTTAATATATATTTTCTGTCTCCATTTTCGTACTTTTGAGGGTTCTCGATGTGATGTGTTAAATTATGGCTTCGCGCAGGAAATTGCTTGATATAATTAACTTAAGATTTGAGCAGATGGGGATTAGTTATCAATCATTAAATCAGGCATCATAAATGTTTGAAGTTAAAGCGTTAAACAATTTCTGAAATACAAACTTTAGCCAAAATTAAGAGAAGAAAGACAATTTTAATATTATCTATTACTAAGAACGAGTAGCGCCCATAGAAATAACTTAAAGCTGTGCTGCAAATTGTTGAACACGACAAATAGAGAGAAGAAAGTCCAGAGAAAGTTATTTGAATAAAAAAGAGTTGAGCAGCCGCCACTGGTCCCATTTTCCAAAGGCGAGAATATCCTACAAAAGTTAGGCAACTTCATGCAATGTCCATATCCTCTCTCATGATAATACGTATTCATTTACAATTAATTAATTTTCAAAGACTCTAGTGTTTGAATTATTGAACTCGAAAAGACTAACTTAACAGATTCATAATGTTAGTTTATTCCCTGCTTAGCTTGCACCCTCTTTCAAACCAAATTCAATCAAAAGAGTTAAAATTAAAAGATACCCAAAACTATTCAAATTAAAGATTTTGTCCAACTATTAATTGTACATCGTTTTCTAAAAAGTCAATTTTACCTTTGGTAGTTTTTAAGTGTTGAGAGTAAAAACCAAATTCTATATAAAGAGGGGAGTAGAGTTGGTTAAGAGCACAAGCAAAAGCAAAACCCCATTTAGTAAAACTATGGGGTCTTCAATGGCCTCTCTTTTGGCCACTCTTTTAGTGGTAACTATCTCTCTTGGCCTGCCTTTTGAAACTTCTGCTGATGATCACTATCTTTACTCTTCTCCTCCACCACCCAAGAAGCCTTACCACTACAAATCTCCACCACCTCCGCCACCGGTGTACAAGTCACCACCACCCCCAGTTTACAAATCTCCACCACCTCCAAAGAAACCCTACAAATACAAGTCCCCCCCACCCCCACCACCAGTTTACAAGTCTCCACCACCACCACCAAAGAAGCCTTATAAATACAAGTCTCCACCACCACCAACTCCGGTTTACAAGTCTCCTCCTCCACCGGTGTATAAGTCACCACCACCACCACACAAAAAGCCATACAAGTACAAGTCCCCACCACCACCACCTCCAGTCCACAAGTTTCCACCACCAGCACCCAAGAAACCTTACAAGTACAAGTCTCCACCACCTCCTCCGGTTTATAAGTCTCCTCCGCCACCTCCACCAGTCTATAAGTCTCCTCCTCCTCCCAAGAAGCCATATAAGTACAAATCCCCACCTCCTCCTCCTGTTTACAAGTCTCCACCTCCTCCCAAGAAGCCTTACAAGTACAAGTCCCCACCGCCTCCACCGGTTTACAAGTCTCCTCCTCCACCGGTGTATAAGTCACCACCACCACCACACAAAAAGCCATACAAGTACAAGTCCCCACCACCACCACCTCCAGTCCACAAGTTTCCACCACCACCACCCAAGAAGCCTTACAAGTACAAGTCTCCTCCACCCCCACCAGTTTACAAATCTCCTCCACCACCTCCTCCCGTTTACAAGTCTCCACCACCTCCTCACAAAAAGCCATACAAATACAAATCCCCACCTCCTCCTCCAGTTTACAAGTCCCCTCCTCCTCCTCATTACATCTACTCTTCACCCCCTCCTCCACACCACTACTAGAAAGTGTGCCTTTGATGTCTAGCTTCCTTTTCAGGTACATTAATATTCCACATTACTGTTAAAATTCTTAAGTAAAAATTCTCACAGTAAGTGATTAATTAACAGTATTTTTTTTTTTTTTTTGCCCTTTTTCGCAGGAGAAAGAAGAGAAAACAGTATCAAAATAAAGAAAGGGACATAGTATGAAGAGCTCGATATCTAGAGTGTGAAAGAAGTTAAGCGGGTTTCCGCGTTTGGTTTTATTGTATTATCTTTGTTAATTAGAAGAAGAATAACAAGATGCATGTAAAAAAGAAATTAATTATGAAAAGACTGCTCGATGTGATTTTCATGCACTGAATGCTTCTGTAATAGTACTCCTCTTTGTTTCTATTCTGGTCCACCTCGTTGAGCTGTAATGTAATTTTCAATCTTTTTTGCAAAGCAATGCAGAGATTGTCCGTGTAATAAAATGAAAATTTTAATGGATTTTCTTATCATGAAGTGGTCCAGTCCAGTGTGCAGAGGAACATGCTGACATGATGTTTGGTGGAAATTAAATAGTTATTTAACATGCGAGACTGCATGGGTTTTCATGCAACAGAAAGCGCTGTAAAAAGGAATTAATCGATCGATTCAACACTATTTTTATTTTATTTGGCAAGTGGGTCAATGGCAACGTTTTCTAATTCTCCACCATGCAGAACAAATCATTGATGAAATTTAAAAAAAGATGGAGTCCTCTTCACTCCTGTTACAATCGTTAATTGAGTCCTCTTGACTCTTGTTATAATTGCTAATTAACAAATACTTAATTACACAGATCTGCCATTGTAACACTACAGTGTGAAAGCTCACTTTCTAACAATAATATATTATGTTTTTAAATAATAATAGAAATCTGGATTAATTAGAAAATAATCTATATATAAATAAAATTTTATTAGGTGAAGATATAAAAGACTCTTTTAACCTCAAGAGGTTGGTCTGGTTGTCATGGAGGTTTGCTCAATGAGTAATGCTACCTTTACACCATCATTTCATACAATTTTTATCACAATATGTCACATCCAAACAAATTTTTAATTATTATAAATTTTTAATATTATAATAGAATTATTATTAGTAAAATGGTCATGAAGTAAGAGAATGGTGTAAAAAACTGGTGTAAAGATAGTATTATTCTTGCTTAATTCCTCAAGTTTTTGGGTTCTAATCTTGGGATCATTTATCACAATAATATTATGGTTTAACTGATCTTTTGAGCTTGTAAGGTGTTCAATGGATCTAAAAGATTAATTGAGGTACGCAAAAGCTGACTCAGTCACTTTGGTTACTAAAAAAAACATAAAAAGACTCTTTTAATAACTTGAAAATGCAAATTTAGTAGATTGATAATTAATGAACTTGATCACACAAATTAAAGTAACAAATTTATTTGTGTAAAATATAAATACACTAATTTTTAATTATTTCCTAAAGGGGCTTTAAATCAAAGGTGCAATTGGTTGTCGATAATAATGATTAACCATTAAGATAATGTTTCGTTAAAAAAGATAGTGGAATTGTATTATTTAAAAAGCATTGCAGATTTTTGTCTTCCTCTTTTTGGACATGTTTTGAAACATATACATGCCTAACCTTAACTATGCCTTATTCATTTGATTAATTAATTCTCAATTAATAAATTAGGGACTGCACAAACAATATGAAGCATGCACTTTGGATACCTTTATATGATTAACATCATACACCACTTTAATTATATTTATTAATTTATTAATTTTCTTCCTTAATTATGGAATCAATATTCCAGTTACTGTTGTGCCAGGCTGCCAGCTACTACGCAAAATGCTTTCCAATTGCATCCATTTTGTCTGATTTCATCATTTTAGTTTCTTTTATTTGATTACAATATATATGGTCAACTTCTAGGAAGCCCTTGCATGTGTTTATTTATTAAAAAAAAAATTAGAAAATTTAATTATTAATTCAATTAATGTACTAGCTTTATGAGATTATTTTCTTTATATCAAACTTTTCTCTTAACATATTATAATTATATGCACTTGTTCACATAATTAATTTTATTATATCAAGGTTATTTGTGAAAAAAATCGTTCTTAATTTAATTAATAGTACTTTTAGTTATAAGATTTTATTTTTTTTAATTATGAGGTGTTTGAATCAGTTTGCGTACACCTTAACTAATTCCCTTAAATCTTGAAACTATTGATCAAATAAGAATCTCAATGATCACTCAAATAACTCAGGAGTTCATAATTTTATTTTTATTTTTTTACTATCGTGTCAATTAATAGGAGTTGTTTTAGTTAAATGATTAACGCATGTCAGCTACCTACTTACAACTTTGGTGTTAGGCTGCAGTCAAAGCATGATATTAAATCATGAGGATATCTATTAACAAAGCGACGATTAATCATGTTGTTTAAAATAAATTAAATTAAAGTCTTTACTGGTCCAAAGGCATTGCCAGAAGATTCCAGAAAAGTACGTGGTTTCCGTTAATTAAAGAAAATGAAATATCATGACATCAAGAATAAGACAACAACATGATCTGACATTTTATTTTATTAGCAGACTCTCGAATCGTAATCAAATGTTAGGTAGGGTCCATGTGACTGTGAACTTGATTAATTAATCTAATTAATCAATTATATTAATAATGAAAATTATTGTGAATCTGTCGAAAATAAGTTTGAAAAATCTAGCTCATCACCTACTTTCCCATGGACCTTCGTACAGAAAGAAAAAGCTCCTTCTTATTCTGGATAAACCTTCAATAACTTAAAGAAAAGCTCGTAAATATTCTAAGAAATTCAAGGGAGATTTCTAGAAATTAAACCATTTTTCATGTGATTAATGGGATTCATATCATTTGCCTACTCCATTAATCGAACTGGAATTCTCCTCAGCACCGACTTCGCAAGACAAACATATTTATATCAAAATAAACACTACAATGGGAACATGGGGTTATAATTTCCACATTGCATGGAGAAAGTAAAATGATATTCACGAATAAAATGCTTTTAATTAGAGAAATCCCAACAATTATCCAAAGAATATTTGGATACAAATTGTTAATGCTATAAATCATACTAACTAGAGATATACAACCGACCTCGGGAGGGACCAAACAAGATGTATACGTGGTTATAGGTAACCAATAAGGTTGCAAAAGCAACATAATGAAGTAAAGAACACAAGAGATTTTATAGTGGTTCGATGGTTATTAGAATCAAATCTACATCCATCGTCGTATTATTATTGTGAGGTGTTACAAAGTTGAATGAGGTTATAGAAAGGGAAGTTTGCGAGTATGAACCAGCGATGTTTAGTCCTCGCGACCTAACTACTCTTAACTCTCTCTAAAATATCAGTGTATTTCCCTCTTGAGCTTTACCTAATACTGGAATCTCCCCGAAATGGAGGCCAATGACTGCTTTTATACTTGTCCCATCTAACAGTGGGTGAGAATGGATATTATGGGGTTCCTTGCATGCATAGTGCATAATCCCCTTAATCATGATCTGGATCAATAATCTCATGCTTGTTGTAGGCCGGACTATGCTAATGACAGCTTATTATGTACTTATGACAGTGATCATCTTGTAAAAGAAGTCAAACACCAAGAAGATGACATGTGGGAAGATCATGGCCGTTGGGTTATTGTGTATTTTAGGGACACATGGCATAAATCTGGCCATTCGGGAATTAGGCATAACACAAATATTACTGTCAATTTGATAATTGGATCACCAATTCTTCTACCCCACATGTATCTAATTGAAGCAAGCCAGATACAAGCCTATATGTTCTATGTTCTTTCAATTTCTAATTGAAGCAAGCCAGATACAGCCTATATGTTCTTTCAATTTCTAATTGAAGCAAGCCAGATACAGCCTATATGTTCTTTCAATTTCAAGAGACTCGTAATTGTTTTGTCTTTCATGTATGCCTTTTTTCTTGTATTCATACGTTCTTTTCTTAATTTGTATTTAATTTAAACAAAACAATATTTCCTTATAACTTATCTTAGCTCTTTACAATCAAAGATAAAAAACCCTACTTAAGTAATATTCCATTTCATTACGTGCTGAATTCTACTTCTACCTCCTGTTTTCTTTAACACATTTATTTATTTAAATATCTTAGAAAGTTTAAAAGTAAATATAATACATGAATAATTTTAAAAAAAAGTTGATTAAATAAAATACTAATTTTATAGTAGGTTAATTATTGGTCCGACATTGCTGGACAATTATATGAAAAAGAAAATAGTAATTAATTATAAGTTGAAAAAGAATAATATTGTATTGCTTTTTGTTATGATCTTATAATTATCTTGGAATTTCGAGTACATTAAAGCATGATGGACAACTGGCCGGCATTTGCGTCAAACCAAACAAAGCAAAAATTAAACGATTAGACGTAATTAATTATCGATTAGACGTAATTATCAAGCTTTAATTTTGCCAGATAGATCTAGCTGCCTATATCAAGTATCAATACCAATGTCCGTCAAAAGAAAGGAGCTTGTAATTAACCCAGATTTCTGATTTATTCCTATTAATCCTTCTGTTTAACTAAACTATTTTTCTGTTGATCATCAATTCTTTCATGCTAATCTTCAAATTTTACTAAGCTTAATGACAGAACTGGATGTTTGATTATATCTTAATTGTCAGTTCTTCAACAGTGCATAGTTGAATATAGACAGATTATCCGGAAGAGTGCATAGTTGAATTTAGACAGATTATCAGGAAGTGTTTGTGTCGGTCTCAAATGATTCTTCTACCTTGTGAATTTTCGGTATAAGTTACGTGAAATCAACAAACACAATTATTGGTATTTTATGTTGAATATACAGTTAAACTATATATAATTAAGTTGATTAATAATAATGGAATTGGATTAAGTTATTAAAACAAAGGCAGCTAGATCGCGTTCACTTCACTTGAGTCCCTCATCCACCGCATGGAGCCAGAGAATAATCAGGGTAAACTGACTAACTAAACAGAAAATGAAAAAATAAAAATAAAATATTAAAGCAAGTAGACAGTACAGATAGGAGGAAAATATAAAGAAGATAGAAAACATGTGATCCAGACAGAGAGTCTTCAAACACTCCACATACAACCCAACTCATCTTTTGTTATTAATTTCATAAAATAGAAAAATCCGCCCATGTTTTGATTTCCTTTTGTCTTATAAAATTTTAGATTCCAGACAACACCACTTGGTTAGGTAGAGAAGAAGAACATTAAGGATCCGCTCTTTGATTTAATTCATTTCTTACTCTGAACAAATTAATTTTCACTGGTTAAATATTTGATAATTTCCACGACTAAATTAGATTTTTCTCTCCCTTTTTATTTGAATCTAGACGTATTATCGGAAGCATACGTTTTGTGAAAATTACTCTCTCTTTTTATTTATATTCTGAATTCAGACCGATTATTAGTAGGCTTACATCTTCAATCAGTCAATTCATTTCAACCAAACTATTGCTGTGTTGTGTTTTTAATTAAACAGCCCAGCAAAAGCATATATATATTACATCTTCAATCAATCAATTCATTTCAACCAAACTATTGCTGTGTTGTGTTTTTAATTAAACAGCCCAGCAAAAGCATATATATATTACATCTTCAATCAATCAATTCATTTCAACCAACTATTGCTGTGTTGTGTTTTTAATTAAACAGCCCAGCAAAAGCATATATATATTACATCTTCAATCAATCAATTCATTTCAACCAAACTATTGCTGTGTTGTGTTTTTAATTAAACAGGCCAGCGAAAGCATATATATATATATATATATATATATAGAAAAAGTAATAAATAATGCAAGATGTAGTTTGGAATCCAAAAAATTTAATTCATGTTGAAACAGGTGATTGAACACTACTCAAAACTTGAGAAAAGTTTTTGAAAACATAATATATTATTTTTATCTTTATATCAAAAGGGCCCAAAAGGCTATAGCTAATAAAAATGCAAAATTTACATGCAAGTAAATGTTGTACAAGTAAATAAGCTAATAAAACATGCTCCAGAATTTGGCTGAGAGCTACTCAAAATTATGCAACAGAATTTTAAATGATGAGGCATTATACGCACTCAAATATACTCTATACATCCACTCTCCAAAATTTGAACTTTGTCATAAGATTTATTTTTTTTAATTATATAATATGATAAGTAAACCCGTTAAAATGATTTAAACACGTACCCTCTTTAGTGTGTCCCATTTTACTGGTGATCAAACTTGGATAATGAAAGAGTTGCCATCCGAAACATTTTCTAATTTTCGCAGGGTGGAAATATAACTGAATTTTCATGATTTATATGAATGTTTAACTGAAACTATATGACATCTATTGCTCTCTAATCAACTGCAAGAAATTCATTTAATTTTTGTTAATAATGTGTTGCCAAAAAGAAAAATGTTGTATAAAACACATTGTTAAAACCCCGGGCTTGCCTAGGCTACGTCCATGCAAGCCCAAGCCTGAGAAAATTTTCACTCGGTGGGGTCATCTGTAATTTTGTAAAACCTTATATAATATACCCTAGCCCACCCGGGTATATACTATATACTCGGCATGATTTTCAAGGCCCAGGTGTAGTTTATTTCTTACATATCTATATCACAATGACAACTTCAATATAAATTTACTTAAAATGACGACAGAATGCATGCGGATTCTGTGATAGGAAAAGAAATTATTAAATTTGATGAAAAAATTCTAATTATCAATGTAATTTAACCACATCTATCAAAAAGTTGTGTATCTGATTACTCACAGCAAGGGCAGATTTTACAACTTATAAGTGGGAAAGCAAAGAAGAAAACTAGCTAGTATAAATACGAGTCACTATTTTTTTTTTTTTTTTGTTTATAAGTCTATCTCATGCGGTATAGGAATGCCTTGGTCAATTTCTCTCTCACTTGTAAAATATGTAAACCTCTATAACTCTCTTTTCAACTTACAACACAACACAAACGCCTCAAAACGTGCCGATTACGACATTGTGTGTTTAGATTGCTCATTTGCCATTTACAGCTCCCGAAGTTTCCTAAGATTCACATATTTTTAATTTAGTTTTCAGAAACTACGAATTCATAAAAGAAAAGAAGTTTTGAGATTTCTACCTGAACTTCATGCACAAGAGCTTCAAGTTCAAGCTCTATATCGGAGAAGGAAGGCCGCTTGTTAGGAACCCCTTCCCAGCATCTCTGCATCAAGTCTAAAAGTTTTGGGTGAGCGTTCTCGGGAAGATCAGGGCGCAGTCCCTGGAAAATTGAGCATTCTAACAATTAAGCACAGACATATACTGCATGTACTCTTCACTAAGCATAGCAAGTTGTACCTTCTGTTTTCCTTTATCTACATGTATGGTCATAAATTAGACAAATGAGTTCACAACTAAGCCTAAAAATCTAGAAATAATGTACCTTCTGTTTTTTGAGGCACTAAATTTGTATTACGCAACTAGTATTAAAGACAGATGCTATCAGTTTTGAATACATGTTTAAGAAAAGTTAAATGAGACCTGAATCAATCAGATTGTGAACCATGGATTCTCAAATATGGTATCTTAAAAGATTCATAAGCCTTTTCTTTTAATATTTGTGTTTTACAGTTCATAATCTTAAACCAAACCACTTTCTACCCTAATTTAAGCAGAATTTGATCCTAGGACTTGCTTGCAAATTTTAACAAGCTTGAACTGATGTTACAGAAAATTAGTAACTGTTCCAACAGCAAATCTGATATGCAAAAGAAAACTCAGATATTTCCTTCAGGAAGCTGCGAGGTACCCTACTCTCTCATTGTTGAGACAGGTGCTACCAATATTAGTCAAAAAATTGTTTGTATGCATCTCTAAAATAAGAGAAATATACATGTTGTCATGTGCTTTTAAAAGAAACTATTCAATCCAAAATAAGAGGATACGGTAGTTCTATACTAAATAGTAAGATGTGCAAACCTGTCTCACTCCCAGTGCAGCCTGAAGGGGAGTCATGTTATCATATGGAACCTGAATACCAAAACAATGGCTTGGTGAAGATTATCTTGACTGCGAAACTTCCACATATCCAGTAAACTGTAGAATAAAAAGCAAACTGTATAATACAAAACCACAGAATTGTGCAAATTTAGTAAATACCTTGGCTGTTACTAGCTCCCACAGTACAATAGCAAAACTAAATACGTCTGCTTTCTGATCATACTGCTGATGGTTTATAACCTTGTGAACAAAAAAAAAAAAAAAAAGCAAAGAAAAAAAAAATGACAAGGTATAACATGTGAAGTAAACAGAAGTCTTTAAAATACATGATGTACTGCACAAAAGAAAAAATTTCATAATCTAAAATCAAACTGACATGCTATTTGGTATTGGAGGGATGAATTCATTGAAAGAAGGTAATTGTAAATGCTGTTGTGTAACATGTTCCATTACTATTGAGAAGTGAAAAGCAGGAAACCCTTATTCGATGAAGTAGCACTGGTAAAATAATAAGTGATTTGTTGTCCTCAACTTCCAAAATAATTCATAATTCAATTCTTAAAACCAGAGAGATTCAATACTCATAGTTCAGATGCATAAAAACTTGTATCAGTTGGTCCTTTACCAAGCTGGTCCTCTCCCAAAGGGCATTACTTTCCTTAGTTGATGATTAAGACAACAAAGAGTGGAGATTGCCAATAATTTGCAAATGCATATTAGTCTCACAAATATCTCAAACTTTGGAATATAAATGTAGTGTCAGACACTCTGGCGTTAAAAGCTAAAAAAGCAAAAAGAATAGCAAACATTGAAAAGACAGACCTCTGGAGCCATCCATCTATATGTTCCAGTCTCGGCTGTCATTATTCCCCCTTCACTCTGAAACCGAGCAACACCAAAGTCTGCCACCTTAATGACCTTGAGAAAACATACTTTTAATTACAGAAATAGATTGTGAAGGTAAAATTGCTCTCTATTGAATCATGAAATTCAAATTTACAATAACCAATGTTAACATAATAGTAAAATAATAAAAAAAAGGTTTAATCTATGTAATACCAAACCGTATGGAAAATATACAGGGTAGTAAATCAAAAGTGCCCACATTCAAAAAGACTATATACTTTACCAACCAATTGTTTATTAGAAGTGCCTGTGAGAATATATTTAACTCGAGGTGCCTCACACAATGAATGAAGATTAGAAAGTTCTCTCAGAAGCAATAACCAACCTAGAAAATCCTATTCAATTCTCTACAACAAGAAAAAGGAACAAAAAGATTTTTATAGCACTTGACTCGCTCACCCATGGGCATGACATATTTCTGATATGACAAGTCAATTCCATTTCCAGTATGCAACTTTTTAATAGGAAGAACCCAACTTTTCCCAGACACCATGGCCCAGTTTACAAGTTAATCTCTTTCAGTTCCTAGACACCTAGAACAATCAAATAAGTCAAGAATCAAAATTATTCTAAGATAGGCTCCTGTTTAAGACAAAATAGAACAATTTAATCAAATCAGCGATATTGAAGAAAATTCTTACTTTCTGGGTATCCATAAGCAAGTTTGCTGTTTTAAGGTCCCTATGAATTATGTTGTTCTGATGCAAATACTCCATTCCTTTGCACACATCAATTGCAAACCTCAGCAATTGAGAGAGCTTCAAGACATTATGGTTTTTATGCAAGTAATCATACAGACTTCCTCCAGGCATATACTCTACAAGAGAAAACAGTGTCCATGAGTGCATTTTTCTGAACCCAGAAAATAACAAACAAAGACAGGCAAGAAAATGTACTAACAAATATCTTTAGTATTATAAAAATTCCTAAGGTAAAGCCATGAAACAATTACATTTGATGATGTTTACCATGAAAAGAAAGGAAATAAGGATTGGATTTAAAATTTTAAAAGTAAATACACAACAGAAGCTTGACTTCTGAAATTTCACAAATCCTCCTTACTACGAACAGGATGAAATAATGTAACAAGCATAAAATAATAAATCAATTTTCACCAACATCATAAAAAAAAGGAACAACCATATATATATATATACACACATAGAAATTCTCTGGTAAGGACGTCCCCAAGTAAATTTTGTGCAGACCTGCTTAAATACCATTGGATTCATTTGTAAAATATAATTTCAGTCCAATAATGATAAATCCAATAATATTTAAACATGGTCCCCACAAAGTATAAATAAGAACGTCCTTACTCTCTCTCTCATATATGAGTATGGCTTCTATTTTGTTTTGGAATAAAAACCAACTCCAAACGAATGCTTAGTTAGCCATGAATGAGAACTCTTGATGCTTGTTGGCAGGTAGCTCCATGTAAGGTTAGCTCGAAAGCGGGTTCTTACTCTTTGACCTGAGGGGAAGAAAGCTCTGATTACTTGGGGTGAGGTTGACCTTCTTTATGCGGTATAGGTATTAGTCTTATTAGATGTTAGGAATCGATCTACCCACCGCAGCAGAGAAGCAAAAATTAAAGGATAAATCGATTCCTTTAAAGCCCAAAATCATGGTACAGATTATATAATTAACACGTTAAATCAAATTCTGCACAAAATATAAACGATCCATTCAAGGATTAGAGATCTTACGCACGTTTGGAGGCTCCATCAAATGTCTCTGAATCTACTTCGCTATCGATTCAACGTAAAACCGAACAAACGGTGATCCACACGAAGACAATCCGAAGAACCAAAAAGGGATTTGCTAGATCTTTTATTGGCTTCAAGAATCAAGTTTAAATTAAAGGAAATCTTTAATTCAAAAACCCAAGGGGAAACGTGAAAGAAAATGAGAGAGAGGGCTGCCACTTTTCAATAAGAATGAATATAATAAAAGTTGAATAATCTTCTTCAACACACATACACATGCACTAATATAGTGCATGTGTCAAAACCCTATTCTAATGAGGAATATGCACGGGCTCCAACCCTTGTATCCAAACACCCTCTCTTTTGGTATTTTATTTTAATTAATCATTATTGTAATTAAAATCATTTAATAGATTTATAAAATATATTAACATTTAATTAACAATAATAATTCATTTAAATATATGTGTACATATATTTAAATATAATCTCACTGAATTAATTTTAACATTAAATTAAATATAGATAACTTCAGCAAATTTAATTGCATTGTGAAATTACCAAAATATCTTTTCGTTCTAAAAGACGAAAATACCCCTTGCACAAAATAATTGAGTACATGGAGAGGCTTGAGACTTTGGGGTTTGGGTTGGATGCAGACTTACAAGTGGTATAAATACATGAATGATTGGCTATAGTTCAAGTGGGAGATTGTTAAAAGTAGGTGTCCTAGAGCCAATCAGTTATTATAAAATTGACTATTTGTAATAATGTTTGTTGGTCTACCTAATCAACCCATTTAGGTTTGTTCGCCAAAGCGAAGGTTTGAAATGGGCTAGATGTGATCTCAGTCCAATAGGAAAGCGAACGGGCTTTCCCAAGTTGATAATGAGAGCTATTGACTTGAGGAAAATAGTGGAAACGTTTTTAATAAAAGACCATATTAAATAATAATGACATTTACTTTTCTGCAATTGTAGATTCACCAAATTGAACATTATGAGTCTGCGACCGATAATCAAGAAAGAAAACAGGCTGGATGGATCCAATTTCTCGGACTGATATCGTAATCTTCGGATTATACTGAAGTCCGAAAAGAAATCGTATATCCTTAATAAGCCATATATGGCTGAGTTTGATCCTGATGCCACTTAGGAGGTAAAGGATACTTATCAAAAATTTCTTAATGATGCTAATGGCGTTTAATGTCTTATGTTAGCATCAATGACACTTGAGCTATAAAAGCAGCATGAGAATATGGACGCTGCTGCCATAATTCTGCACCTCAAGGAGCTTTTTGAAGAAAATGCTCGATATGAAAGGTATAAGATGTCGAATGCGTTGTTTAGGAGTCGCGCGACTGAGGGAGCCCAAGTTGGCTCTCATGTGCTCAAAATGATCAAGTACATGGAGAGGCTTGAGACTTTGGGGTTTGGGATGGATGCAGACTTACAAGTGGATTTAATTCTGCAATCCCTATTTGATTCTTTTGCACCGTTCATAATGAACTTCAATATGAACACAATGGTGAAATTCCTGTCAGAGCTTCTGAACATGTTGAGGACTACAAAACAGGAAATGAAAAGGTCCAAGCCTGTTTTATCGGTTGCTGCCAGTAAAGGGAAGGATAAGGGCAAGGAAAGGCCAAGGCCAAACCCAAGTTCAAACCCAAAGGGCAGGATGCTCTTAGGCCTAAGAGTGGCGTTGGGAAGGGCGAGAAAGTAGTCTGCTTCTATTATGACAAGTCTGGCACCTGCAGGAAGCGCTGTAAGATTTTCCTCTCTAGCAAGAAGAAGTCAGAGGCTTTGACTTCAGGTATGTTTATGATTGAGATTAACTTCTCTCCTTCAACATCTTGGGTCATTAACACAGGATGTAATACTTACATTTGTACAGATGTGCAAGGACTAAAGTAGAGTAAATTGCTCGCCAAGAGAGAAGTAGGCCTACGAGTTGGAAATGGAATACATGTGACTGCATTGGTTGTAGGAATACTATTTATCTTTGCCTACGAGCTTGTCCTTGGAACTTCATAACTGTTATTACGTACAATCTATTTCTAGAAATATTATTTCAATATCCGTTTTGGATAATATAAGGTATCATTTTGAGATTTCTAATAGATTGTTGTTCTTTAGTTTGAATGGTATTCTATTTGGAATTGCAAGGTTATATAAGAGGTTATACATTCTTGATTTAAACAATAAAGATATTCTCAATGTTGAAACCAAAAGAGTTAAACATAGCGATAGAAACCAAACATACCTCTAGTATTGTAGATTGAGTCATGTTAACCAGACTCGCATTACAAAACTTCAAAGGGATTAAGGTTTGGACTCTTTTGACTTCCAGTCATTTGAGGTATGTGAGTCATGCCTTTTAGGCAAGATGACTAAGTCTACTTTCACAGAACAAAGTTAAAGAGCTATTGAACTGTTAGGCATCATCTATAGTAATGTATATAATCCACTAACAGTTGAAGCCAAAGGTGAATATTCATACTTCATCACATTTACTGATGATTTCAGTAGATATAGTTATATCTATCTTATGAAACATAAATCTGAAGCTTTTAATAAATTCAAAGAATTCAGGAATAAAGTACAAAATATGTTAGGCAAAAATATTAAAACTCTTCGATCAAATCAAAGAGGTGAATACTTGAGCTCAAGGTTTTCTGAATATTAAAGGAATGTGAGATAGTATCACAATTTACTCCTCCGTACACACCCCAACACAATAAAGTGTCTGAAAGGAGGAATATGACCTTATTTGATATGGTTATGTCCATGATGAGTTTTAGTAATCTACCTACATCATTCTAGGGTTATGCCCTAAAGACTGCGACTTACGTATTGAACCGTGTCATCAAAGTCTGTAAATAAGACTCCATATAAACTATGGAGTGAGTGAAAGCCCAACTTATCTTATCAAGGATTTGGGGTTGTGAAACTTATGTCAAGAAATTGACTTCGAACAAGCTATGCCTAAAATTCTACAAATATATATTTGTGGGGTATCCTAAGAAGACCAAATGATACTATTTCTATCATCCAAAAAAGTGTAGAATTTTTATCGCTCATACTGGTGTCTTCCTAGAAAAAAAAAATTCTAAATAGTTCTAGTAAAAGAAAAATAAAACTCAATGAAGTTATAAAACCACAAAGTACATTAGACGAAGGACGGGAAAATGTGCCACAGAAAGTGGTTGAACATCATGAGGAGGTTACTCCATAATTTGTGGATAAAAGTGAACCACCTTAGGTAGCACAGGAGCCACGTAGGTCTAGGAGAGTACGTCGTGAGCCCAAAAGATATGGTTATCTCATAACTCAATATAGTGATGTACTGGTCCACCAAGACACTGAACCCAAAACCTACGAAGACGCTACATCAGATCCAGATTCCATTAAATGGCTTGAAGCTATGAAATTTGAGATAGACATCATGTACCAAAGCCAAGTGTGGTCTCTGGTAAATTCACCTAAGGGGGTAAAACTCATAGGGTGTAAATGGATCTTCAAGAAGAAGACTGGCATGGATGGCAAGATGCATACATATAAGGCACGACTGGTTATCAAATGTTTTAGATAAATTCATGGTATTGATTATGAAGAAACCTTTTCGCCAATTGTCATGATTAAATTCATCCGGATTATGCTTGCGATTGCTGCATATCATAACTATGAGATTTAGCAAATGAATGTCAAAATGACTTTCCCGAATGAAAACCTTGAAGAGGTTGTATACATGACACAACCCGATAATTTCGTTTACGATGGGCAAACTGATAAGGTATTCAAGTTGCAAAGATCCATTTGTGGACTCAAACAAACTTCAAGGAGTTAAAACATTCGTTTCGATGAAACCGTAAAAGAATTCGGTTTTATCAAGAACGAAGATGAGCCTTATGTTTACAAGAAAGAAAATGGGAGCACAGTGACATTCCTAGTGTTGTATATTGATGACATACTTCTGAGCGGGAATAATATTTCAAACCTGCAGTCAGTAAAGACTTGGTTATCCAAGTGTTTCTTCATGAAGGACTTAGGAGAAGCAGCCTACCTCCTCGGAATAAAGATCTATCGTGATAGATCGCATAGGTTGCTTGACCTAAGTTAAGAGTACATATATTGACAAGGTATTGAAGCGATTCAATATGGAAGAATCCAAGAAAGGATTTCTTCCTATGTCACATGATGTATATCTCTCTAAAGATATGTCCTAAAACAAAAGATGAGAGAAACAGGATGAAGAGGATCTCATATGCATCAGCAATTAGATCCATCATGTATGTCATGTTGTGTACTCGGATTGATTTCTCATGTGCATTAAACACTTGTAGTAGATATCAATTAGATCTAGGTGAATGTCACTGGATGGCTGTCTAAAACATCCTTAAGTACCTGAAGAGGACTAAGGATATGTTCTTAGTTTATGGAGGGGAAAATGAGCTCACTGTACGAGGATACAGTGATGCTAGTTTCCAAACGGATAAAGATGATTATCGTTTGCAATCTGGGTTTGTATTTTATCTCAATAGGGGTGCAGTAAGCTGGAAGAGCTCCAAACAAAGCACTATAACAGACTCTACAATGGAGGCTGAGTATATTGCATTATCCAATGCGGCCAAAGAGGCAGTCTGGATTAAGAAGTTCGTCACCGAACTTAGTGTGGTTTTCACGATTGTTGATCCAATAGGCGTCTATTATAACAACAATGGAGCAATAGCTCAAGCAAATGAGCCACTGTTTCATCAGAAGTCCAGACACATACTCAAACGATTCCATCTCATCAGGGAAATAGTTGAGAGGAAAGATGTGCAGATCAGTAAAGTGCATACTGATGACAATCTCGCAGATTCATTAACAAAACATTTGTCACAGCAGAAGCATAAATAACACTTAAGGTCATTTGATATTAAATACATGAATGGATGACTATAGTGCAAGTAAGAGATTGTTAGAGTATATGTCCTAGAGCCAATCAATTATTGTAGAATTGACTCTTTGTAATAATGTTCATTGATCAATAAAAAACATTTTATTCTATATCGTGTAAATCATATTATATATATTGATATATGTCCTTTGGATGGTAGAACTATAACGAGAGTATCAAGTGTTTCAAATCTTGATAGTGAGAACTCTAGGATCATATATGGTGGTCATTCTAGAAATGTCGATAACCCCAGTATTATTCTGACCAAGGGCACAAATAATACGGTAAGACTATCATAGTGTTGAAAACCTCTGTCGAAAGACAATGACTGATCTCACTTGTAAGGTTGTTTGTCGACAACCTGGTACAACACATGAGTGCTTGTTGTAAGTAAGTTAACTGGACTGATCTACCAGAGGATTCCATATAGATGGTAACCCTAATGTCTATGGAACAAATTCTCTAACGAATGGTGGTGCATGTAATCCTTAAACTTGAGATCACCAGAGCGTCTTGTGCATCGATTGCTGTAGTTTGACACTAGCCCAACGCAATTCTATTCAAAACTGTTAATACGATAGTGATTAGCTGCATCGAGGAGTGTATTAAAACTATGGTGAATCGACAGAGGATTCATCACTCCCGAGTACGAGAGAAGTTATCTCACTACGCAATTCAGTAAATGACAATGACCCTAAAGTTGTGGCCACAGTGGGATTGAGTCGTTGCTCAATCCAATTCATTATTCCAGTCATTGGTCTAGTAATTGAATAAAAACATATCGAGAGTAACTTAGGTTGACACTATTTATGCACTTCAGTCTCGATGAGATAACAGATGATGAAAGGATTTGATTACACGATAACCATATCATTGACAAGTAGTTATTTCGCTAAATTTGAATCTATCGGGTGGCTATAATGTCTTACTAGGGTATGATGTCTTACTAGGGGCCAATCTTAGTCTTTGTAGTGAGACGATTAATTGGTGTTAATCGCGATACTACTCATTGCCGGTATAATGAGAAGCTTATGGGTCACACACTTCAAAGATAATTTAAGAATCATTTGTGTAAAAGGTATTTTCGTTTTTTAGGACGAAAATGTATTTTGGTAATCTCACAATGCAATTAAATTTGCTGAGGTTGTTGTCTATATTTAATTTAATGTTAAAATTAAATCAATAAAATTATATTTAAATATATGTACACATATATTTAAATGAATTATTATTGTTAATTAAATGTTAATATATTTATATTAATTGATTTTAATTACAATAATGATTTATTAAAATAAAATGCTAAAAGAGAGGGTGTTTAGATACAAGGGTTGAAGCTCATGCCTATTCCTCATTGGAAAAGGGTTTTGACACTTACATTATATAAGTGCATGTGTGTTGAAGAAAATTATTCAACTTCTATTATATTTATTCTTATTGAAAAACGATAGTCGTCTCTCCCCTTTTCTTTCCCGTTTCCCCTTGGGTTTTTGAATCAAAGATTTCCTTTGATTTAAACTTGATTCTTAAGGCTAATAGAGGATCTAGCAAATCCCTTTTTAGTTCTTCGGTTGTCTTCATGTGGATCACCGTTCGTTCGTTTCTACGTAGAATCAGTAGCGAAATAGATTCAGCGACATTTGATAAGGCCTCCAAACATGTGTAAGATCTCTAATCCTTGAATGGATCGTTTATATTTTGTGCGGAATTTGATTTAACGTGTTAACTATATAATCTTACCCTAATTTTGGGTTTTAAAAGAATCGATTTATCCTTTAATTTTTGTTTTTCCATTATGTTGGGTAGATCGATTCCTAACATTAGATAGTTGGGAGTCTCTTCTTCCTGAATAGTCAAGAGCGGGGGAGAGCATATAAAGCTAATCGTAGAGCCAATTACTATATAAAGATAAAGAAGAGTTGTAAACTATAGAACTCCTTGTTCAGAGTAGGCAATTTTCGATTTTCTCATTCCTTCTCTTTGATAAGAATAGAGATTTCAATTTATATAAATTCCTCTTCATTCTGTTGTGCTCAGCGAAGGAACTGCCTAAGCATAATTTTTCGAATCCAAACTTCTTTTCACGGATGGCCTACGAGTCTCCCTTCTCTGAGATGGCATGGATAACTTTCAGCTGATTAATGAGTCCTTGAATAAGCATGGCCAGATATGATGTCCAATCCTGGCAAGCCTGTAACGAATCTTCATGGGAAGGATCTGGGTGCTTCCTCCGGAAGTCTTTCAAAGCACCCTCGACCATAAACCCAACCATCTAAGGCTCTACTAAGCAGAATTCGTAAACTATGCAAAGGCTATTTGAAAACTTTTTTACTTAACAAAAAAAGCAAAAAAACAATTCCTAACACCCTTACAAGGTAGTGATAAGTTAAACTACTTGTGCTGGCATGAAAGTAAGCCTGGTAAACGGATTCCATTCTGCTACTCTCCATGCATTATCGACTACTTTGTCATGAAAAGTAAAATTAACATTTTTCTCAAATGAAAATTTAGAATGAGGACCAACACTACTCTTAGGTACAGAGATCTAGCCTGCTAATAAGCGCAACACTACACTGCACTAGTAGAAACAAAAATGAGAGAAAGAACAGGGAGGGAAACTAGCAAAATTGAAGGAGAAAACCAATATTCAACATTCCATCAAGTGAGACAATACTTATAGTGGTCAAGCCTTGGCTGAAAAAAACCATTTATCCTACTTAAATTAGAAAGCTAATTAGGAACTAAATCTAACTTAAACAAGCAATAGGATCAAAATATTGCCTAAATTATTAATAAAATTATTCCTTGATTTCACATAACCTGTCCAAAGCCTTGTTTTTTCAGAATTATTTCCCCTTTCATCTTATTTCGTTTACACACGTTGAGCAAAAGAAACCTCATTCCTTAAAATACAATTTATCTGTATGCTCATATAACATTACCACCCGCAACAACACTGAAGCAATATATAGGGCAATAAGTATAAGAGAGCTGAAGCCTAATTTTATGGAATTAAAAATAAGCTAAACATGAGAATATAACAATGTGGGCAAAGGAAAAAAGTTGGTGAGTTCCAGGAATAAAATTCTGTACCAGTTACTATGCATAAATGAGGGGGCTTTGTGCATGCACCAATAAAACGAACAACATTTCTGTGTTGGACCTCCCTGCATTTAAACATAAAAATAGTGAATGGTCTACTGAATTTCAACTCATTCTAGATAGGACAAAGACAGTGATGGAACTAGAAATCTAATCTTTCAGGAACCAATCATAGTACCAATTTTAAATTTAAAGCAAAACAATTATTGACAATCTTCAAATTAAGCAAAAAAATATGTAGAAAAAAAAAATTTCAGAAAAAAATTTGTAAACCTTGACAGTATGGAGGACAAGTTATTTCAATTTTGTGGTGCAAAAATTTCCAAGATAGCAACACTATGTGTCTGACAATGATAGTGAAAAAACACCAAAGTAGAAGAGCTAAAAGATAATATTTATAAAGCCTTTTGGCTTTTGATTGCTTGGTGGAAGGATAATTGATGAGTTTATATCTTTTGTCTCCTTATGCACACAATATTATATAAATTAGAGGTTGAATTGAAGAAAATTACTCTCAATTAAAAAAAGGGACGTCAATATATCCCATCTTTTTATAAAGGATTTGAAACTTAAAACAATTGTTTTTTATTTTTTTCTCTATATGGTTTATTCTTTGAATTTTAAATATACTGATAAATTTTACTTTTTGAGTTTTAAATCTGTGCAATGAATAGCCCACGTCTGAATCTCGTTTCTGCTATTGAACTCAGTAAATAAGCAACTGGTAGATGGGCCTCCTCAAGGCAATTACCATCAGTAAGAGTCTAAATGAAGGAGAAGAGGCCGTAATGAAATGATGTATACATAAACAACAATACTCAATTTCAAGGGACAACGTGAACTTTAACTTCAAACTACTTAATTTCAAGGGACAACGTGAACTTTAACTTCAAACTACTTACCGTAGAATAGCCACTTCTTGAGCAAATTCATCTTCCAAAGCATCATTTAAATGCTCAGATCGAAGAATTTTAACAGCAACATCTTGACCAAGGTAAACGCCACGGTACCTTTAACAAGCACCAGAAAAAAAGTGAGTAACAAATAAAATGAAAAACAAAGTTGAGGAAGAAGGAAGGCTGTATAGACACAACTTACAAGTCTCCACAAGATCCACATGCAATTCTTTCTCCTATCTTTAATATTTTTCGTTCTATTTCCCAATCTCCAGATATTGTTTGTGCTGCTAATGCCTTCTCTACAGCTGGACGGGAATTTGAAGAACCAGACCATGATCCCTATATTTCCAATGCAAAACCATAATAAGAGGTCTATTAACATTCATGTTTACTTCAACCATTTAGTTATTATAAGAGTGCTTCAAAATTCTTAATCACAGTTATACGTGTGCTGGACACAATAAATGCATCTTCCATTTACTTCCAAGAATGCAATCATGTCGGCAGTAGGTACAAGAAAACAAGTCCATAGAGTAGAAACAGCGAATAAAACATAAAATGATTAATTGAGCTGATAATTTAACTGAAATAAAGGCTTAGTTACATTGAGTTTTTAAAGAAACAAAACATATATGATATATAGTGGCATGCAACTTACAGGAACACTCTCCTATCCCCTGAGATGAACCACCTGAACTGCTCTATGGAAGCATAGACAACCAAACCACATATATATAAGAGAGGATCAAAATGCAAAAAGTTTACCTCACTTCTAGCAATTGCTTTTTCCGTCGCCTTATACAAACCATCTGTATCCTGGGCACAACATTGCAAAGTGAGCAACATTTGGACTCAGCACAGATCCCTGTCATAAAGAAATATAATCACAATGCTCCTTAATATATTATAAGGCCATTGTCCTAGGATAAAGCATACTTCCTTTTAAAAGGTCGGTTTGACAAATTTTACTACAAAAATCAAAAGCAATATAATGCGTCAAAAATAATAGCCACCAATTTTGTATAAATATGTTAAACCAAGGCCAACAAGATAGAAAGAAAATGTCCCTCTAATGAAACAAAAAAAAAAAAAAACTTCTCATTGCAGTTTATGAACACTACGAAGATACATACAAGGGTGAGCAAAGGATCGGCATTATTGAAGGAACAGCTAAATGATAAATAGGGTATGCATTGCATCTCAAGAGTTATAAAATGTAAAAAAACTGTTAATCAGTGGTCCAGCAGACAAATATAAAGACACAAAAACATTAAAGTACAAAGTGCAAGAAGACAATAAACACCATAGAAAGTAAGAACATACCTCAACAGGCCATCCATCCACGACAAATACATCCAAGGAGTAGCCATCAGTTGTAGAGAACACGTGTGCTTCTCGAATATTTAGTCCAATGTCAGAAAGCAACGCAGAAAGCTAGAAGAAAATGGCTCCTCGTTAGAAGATATCACAATCTTGATATCAGCATTTTTAAGCTTGATTAGGTCTACTAGAGAAAAGATGGTGTTAAAATGCCATAAGTTCATTCTGATATAAATTAATTACGCAATTATACTGAAGCCTTACAAGAGTATTAAAATCTATTGAAATTGCAATTTTATCACAGAAAAACAAATAAATAAATGGAGAAGAAGACGGATTCAAAATTTTAAGCTGTGGATTTCTTTTCTTTTGATATTAGAAAACATAGCACTTCACACATTACAATACGTCTTACAGGTTTCAGAATAATTAGCAGTAGATGGATTATCAGTTCCACTTTTGTAATTCTCTTAATTTTAAACTCAATACAATCGTGGATTTAAATGCAATTTCACATACAAACAGAGAAACCAAAAGGCACTGAGCTTTATATTTTAATGGCAAAAAAAATTAGAACGATTCAAGAAGCTAATTTAAACATCATTAAATTCAGTCAAAACAACATGCATTCAGAAGCATTACTAGTTCATAGAAGTTTAAAGCATTCACAATGATAAAAAATGGACTCAATAATGAAGAAGGAAACACAATTCTCCTCATACATACCTGACTAAGAAGTTTTGGTTTGTCTACTGTAGAAAATATTACTTCATGAATGTTCAAAGTTTCTTGCCTGCATTACAATTCCCAACAAACAACTTATTTCCATGTATGCTTATGTCCATTCTATGACTAATATAACAAATATGGCTTCCATTAACCATCTAACAAATTTTTTGAACCTCAAGTAAAAAAATTTAGGAACTCAAAATTAGATTTCCATCTTTTGTCAGCATTATCATTTCTTTTACCAAAATATTACACTGGAGCAGAACTTACATTATTCATCATCAATAAAATAATAAAATTGTTATCTTTAGGCTCTTCCCATTTCTCAATTTATATAACAGTAAGAATTATGCAACATGATAGTGATCTCAAGTTTTGGTATTATTCACAATGAGGTTCTTGTGGACCTAGCTAAATGCAAGGATGGTGGACAAGCAAATGCCTCGACAATATTTGGGATATAGCCTATTAGATCTAAATGTTGTGAACATGATCATTTATTTTCTCAAATAATTCAAAGTGGTTCTGCAATATGCAGAATTTCAAGGAAGTTTAAAGGTGCTCCAAAAGCCTAATGGTCATTGAGACTTTTGGTGTCTACCTACCAATCCCAAATATTGGAGAAAATCAAAAATTGATCGAGCAAGCTCCTCAACTACTTGAAGATCCAGAACTAGGAACTGACACAGTCCTTCAGAAAGGAAAAAAGATTTGCCCATAAGTGCAAAGATAAACAGCATAGAAGCATTGATGGACATTCAATTTCCTGCCAAAGGAGACCAAAGATGCAACAAGTATGATTCAACTCTAGGCTTACTCTTACTCAGAAGATGACTATGACTATGTACATTATTATTTTTCAGGAAACAAAATCTAAAAGCTTAAGCTATCAAGAGGCCTAATTAATTATGTAAACCCTCAACGCTAAGGGGGAAAAAACAGATGTAGAGAGGCCAAACTAGAATGAGAAATCATACTAAAATTGAACCCAACCAAAGTGGGGCATTTAATGCTCCTTCGCAGGTACAAGCTCAATGCAAAAACCTAGCAAATGAAGCCTAAAATGAAAATAGATATAGAAACCAAGCCAAAAATCAACAAAAAGCTTTGGATCAAAGGCATTCTGTTAGGCAAGAAGAGAATTGGAAGGTAGGTTACACATGCACTCACTTTCTCTCTCTTACTCGCACTCACTTTCTCTCTCTAACTCGCACATGCACTCACTTTCTCTCTCCCACTTGCACACGCACTCACTTTCTTACTCACTCAAACTGATATCACTCTTCCTATCTCTCTCTCCCTGAATTTATACCCTCAAAGGTTGAAGGTGAAGCTCTAGACGGAATAGCAATTTTAAAAAACTCCTTTGTTACATCCAATTCTTGTTCATCTCGTTTATAATCTTTATATCAGTTAGGACTAGCTATTGATAGGACAAATTCTAATTCAGCGAACAAAAAAAACAATAAAACAGAAAAGTACTGGTAAAATTTTAAAGCAAAACTGTAGCACCGACCAAAAGCAAACAGCATTACAATCCTTAAATTGGAAATCTCCTTGCCTATCACTAGGTTAATGAGAAAAAACAGAAAAACTGATGGAGATTTGAAGTACCTTCCTGAGAACTGATCTGTAAGATATCTTTCCTCCAAATCATTGGTATCCTTTCTAACATCCAAATTGAGGTCCCCAAGCTTAGAGCAAGGCTCAAAGTCAATTGCAGAATCCTTGATTCTATTTATAGAAATGACACAAGTCCCCAATAAATATAAAAAAAGGACACATTGAATAACCTTTTTAACTACACCAAAACCTCATCTAAAACAGCAGGAATCAAAAACTACAAGCTTCATGCAATATCACAAATTAATTCATGGTTAATAAGCTAAGAGAGAGGTAGACATGGGCATATAAGACCTTCACAAATAAAATACCTCTTATGAGATGGCACAACTCCTTCATTATCTGCATCAAGAGATGGCCTTGGACTAGAAATAACGTTTATATACTGTTGATCCTCAGTACCATCTGGGCTGGTGCAAATGTTCTACCAGCAATACAGAGAAGTACATAATGCATATATCATAAAGTAAGAATACTTGTAAAAATAGCAAAGAATATGAGATACATAACCCAAAGACCAGAGCAGAAAGAAATACAAAACTGATATATTCGTGGTTAAAAAGTAAAATGCAAAATGTAAAATTCTTCAGCACTTAGGTCTGCTTTGTAGATACATACAGATCATAAAAGGTGAAGAAAGATTAACATTTGATATATGCAACAAAATAAAGTATAAAAGAAATTATTTCATTGAATGACATATTTCATTTGCAACTCTTCTCTATGATAATCTCATTGTGAAAAGAAAGTCATAAGTCATCTACATAGCAAACGGTTTTTACTTTTTCACTCCTCTTAAGTGCAAAATGGAAATTACAACAATCATAATTCCATAAATAAAAGGCAATATATCAAGGTTTGAGACTAAACTAAATAAAATGAATGCAATTCTATATATTTTATCTTGAACATACCACATACTTTCAGACTATACAAGAAATTTTCTAAGATCACACATTTTACTTTTTGTTGCTCTTCATGATCATCTTATGTAAAGAAAGCTACATAAAAAATCCAATGTTTTCATAAGTAACACTTGGTTTTTGCAATTTAGTGACAAACAAGTCAAAAAAAAAAAAGATGAGTTGTTTTTCACAAGCACTAAAGCGAAATTACATCAACAAAAAAAAAATTCAAGCATTTACCATCCTGCAGAACAAAATATACTACCTCCATGAATCGGATATGATAAACAGGCCGCTTCTCTGGGTCCTTAGCAAGTGCGAGAAGATTTTGATGTAACAAAACGTCTTCCACTCTATCCATATTGACATCAAGTCCATAACTGATACAAAAAACGATGCAACTTAATTTACTGACAATGTAATTTATCATCCTTTCCGCAAAAAGATATCAGATTTTAGGAGAACAGAAAAGTCTAATATAGGAAATTCGAAAGATTCAACAAGACGTTATTTTCTTTATTAGATTTTTATTTATGAAAGTAATATCTAACTCTTTTTATTGAAAACTATGTACAGAAGATTTTAAGTTAAAAAACTGTGATCATGGATTCTGACATAAGTTTAGAATGTATTTAGGAAGATTCTATGTAACTTTTGGACCTAATCATGATTAGTTATTAGATCAGGGTTATCTTTATGTATTACACAATAGAAAATATGCCTATATAAATGCTCAATTTAGAGCTGTAAGAACGATGACAAATTGTGGTTAGAAATAATTCATTCAAGAGCTGTTTGCTCTCCTTTACCTCTACTGCTCTTCTCTCAAACCCAAGTTTATCTTTTCCCGCTTCTTGTGATCTATATGTACCTTTGATCCTCTTTTTCTCCCATATTCTAATTTCAATTTCTTGATCCATAGACCCTATTTTCAAGCTATATCAAAAGAGTACATAGTTCAATAAAAAGTTCATCAAGCCCCACCAGATAAAAGGTTGCATAGAACTCTACTCAAGAGGTCAAGCCTTNGCGAAATTACATCAACAAAAAAAAAATTCAAGCATTTACCATCCTGCAGAACAAAATATACTACCTCCATGAATCGGATATGATAAACAGGCCGCTTCTCTGGGTCCTTTGCAAGTGCAAGAAGATTTTGATGTAACAAAACGTCCTCCACTCTATCCATATTGACATCAAGTCCATAACTGATACAAAAAACGATGCAACTTAATTTACTGACAATGTAATTTATCATCCTTTCCGCAAAAAGATATCAGATTTTAGGAGAACAGAAAAGTCTAATATAGGAAATTCGAAAGATTCAACAAGACGTTATTTTCTTTATTAGATTTTTATTTATGGAAGTAATATCTAACTCTTTTTATTGAAAACTATGTACAGAAGATTTTAAGTTAAAAAACTGTGATCATGGATTCTGACATAAGTTTAGAATGTATTTAGGAAGATTCTATGTAACTTTTGGACCTAATCATGATTAGTTATTAGATCAGGGTTATCTTTATGTATTACACAATAGAAAATATGCCTATATAAATGCTCAATTTAGAGCTGTAAGAACGATGACAAATTGTGGTTAGAAATAATTCATTCAAGAGCTGTTTGCTCTCCTTTACCTCTACTGCTCTTCTCTCAAACCCAAGTTTATCTTTTCCCGCTTCTTGTGATCTATATCTACCTTTGATCCTCTTTTTCTCCCATATTCTAATTTCAATTTCTTGATCCATCGACCCTATTTTCAAGCTATATCAAAAGAGTACATAGTTCAATAAAAAGTTCATCAAGCCCCACCAGATAAAAGGTTGCATAGAACTCTACTCAAGAGGTCAAGCCTTAACACTACACCTTGTAAACAACAAATAAAAATTAAAAAAATAAAAACAAATATAAGCATAGAGATCCAATAGTATAAACAGTTAGCTCATTTTCTTGAGGATACTCAAGCAGCATGTAGATATATCAGCACAAGAAAAAAATTAATTGCAAGGAAATGTAAAAAAAAAAAATGAAAATCAAGGAGAAAATACTTCTCAGATTCCATCAAAATAATTTCCATTCAACATCCATTTCTTTTTCCTTTCTCTTTATTTCGATTTTTTGTTTCCAACCAAAGAAAGCAACATAAAAGTCCAAGTCATTTACCAAAAACAAAATTAAAAGAAAATCAAATCTACATGACTACATGCAACACACTAACAGAGTAAATGACGCAATCCGTACAATCTGAATCTTCCAATTCAACTTGAACAACTCAAAATAACAACAATAATGTTCACATTCAAAATTAAAACAACAAACTCGAACTCTTTTTTTCCAAAAGACAAAAACGTACACGTCTTTATTTCCATAATTACCTCGCAGGCAATCGATTGAAGTGAGCATCCAACTGCTCGCGAAAGTCCGGATTACACACAGCCTCTTCATTTCCACACACTATCAACCGATTAAACACGTCTTTTCGCACATCGTAGTTACTGAAACTTCCGAAGCTACGCGGCGGAGACGAGCTCTCTCCGACTCCTTCAGTCAAATCCATAGCGTTTTAGCCGCAACAATCCCTTTCAACTCCGGCGGAGGCCTGACATAGTCGAGAAAACGAGAGAAAGTGCGAGAAAATAGGTGAGAAAATATGTGAGAAGTAGGGGAGGATCTTTGACTGTTGTTAGAATCTCTGAGGAAAGAGGAGCGAAATGGAGTTTTGAAAGGAAGCAGAGGGCAATTTGGGAAAGTAAAAGAATACTGTTAACGGAGAAGCAAAAGAAAGCAAGTAATGAGTCTTTTTCTTGCGTCTTAACTCTTAACTTTCTAGAGAGAGAATGTCAGGCTTGTTTTAGTTAGGGGAAAACAGAGAAACCAGGTCTGTTTTCATGAATATAATATTTATTTAAAAATATAATTTATCATGGAAATAGAATTTTGTAAATTGGAGTGGATAGGGTGAAGGCTCTGAAAATTTTCGGTGTACAACACCAAGTAAATTACATAAATAACCTTCTTTTAATAGCAAAATTTTCATTGACTTGTATGGAAGTTTGGTCTAATCCAAAATTTCCTAATTTTATAAAAAAAAAAAAAGATTTTAAATTTTATAGAAACTAATTCAAAATATTTTAATTAATTTCTTAAATATTCATTTAATAATTGACAGTGCAATTAAAAAAAGAAAACAATTCGTACGGAAGGGCGTTTGGTTGAAAGGAAATGGTAGGGTGACAGGGACGTGGCAGAATGAGAATATAACAGAAGAAAAACAAGACAGAGTATTCTTCAAGGAAATAGACACGTGGGAGAAATTATGTGAGGATGGCATATTTTGTAAATGTTAATGACTGAGAGGTGTCACCGTGTCAATCAGTGACAGTAGAGGTCCAACTCCAATTACCTTCTAGAGAAAGCCTATGAGATTAGATAGGTTTTTTTAAGTTGAGCCAAGGCACGCTAAAGTATGGTTGGCTCGAGACCTTTAATAAAAGATACCAAAATGCGACAATTGCTATTTTAAGGGGCATTTTCATACATCATGAGTAAATGGGGTTATAAAGAATTTACCATCTTATTTAATTTTTATTTAATCAGATTAATTTTATTATTACTCCTATGGACGTGATGGGGACTTTTGAAAATTATTTAGGCCCTTTGGTTCACTTTTTTTCCTCATCCTATTCAATTATCTTATCCAATCATATCCAAATACATATTTGTTTTAATATTCAAAATTCTCTTCAAAAGATAATACTATTCTTATATTTAGATTATTTTAACCCTCTAAATTTGTTAATTTAACTAAACACCCCCAACAATAAAAGTTTATAATTGACAAAAACACTCTCATCCGCCTACATTTGCCAGATTTCGATCACCACTACAGGAAGGTGGCTAGAATATGTTGTAATGACGCACTACCAACTGGATATGATTGGTAGTGTGCCGATATGGCCATTGATGCCGTCAATGATAGTCAAGTTAACGGCCAAAAGATCGGGTGGTTGTAGATTTGGCCTTTTCTTGTGGATTTTACCGGAAAAGACTAGATCATCACACTACCGGCTAGATCTAACCGGTAGTACACCATTACACTAGATTTTAACCACCTTCCAGCGGTGGTGACCGGAATCTGGCAAATGTGGGTAAGTGGAGGTGTTTTAGTCAATTTCTAAACTTTTTTTTTTGTTAGAGGTGTTTAGTTAAATTAACAAACCTAAAGAGTTAAAAATAATCTAAATATTTTTCAGAGAATGCTATTATAAAATATACAAAAAAGCTTTTCAAAATACTAATCAACTCGAATTTTTCCAAAAGACTATTCTAAAAACTTCCAAAATAGTGAATTAAAGGGAGCCAATTATTAAATTACCAAAAATCTTAAGACTCCTTGATTAAAGGGTTTTCAATATTTTTTAAAAATCGTTATGATATTTGAGACTTAAACAAACGAAATTAATCCTAAAAGTATATATTAAAAGTATGAAATGATAAACTTTTTTATTATTATTATTAAAGAAATGCAAGTAGTGGGTCAATAATTTCTTGTAATGTTTCAAAAAGGTTTCAAAAAGGCAAAACTGTCTACAATATGAATATCCAGAGTCCAGACACATGTAATGCGTTTGAGATTCATAAACCCTTGCTTAACTTTCACGACACATATTATTATTTAATTAATTAACTTTAATTAATCACGTAATACGATATTGTCAAATTTCCATGATTCTGGGACGGCTAATCTCGTCAAATTCAACATTATTATACTCTTTGGTCACATTCATGACGTAATTTAATTAAATTTTCTCATATGGGTTAGGGAAGACTTTGGTTAAAATTTATAATAAAATTAATTAGTGAATTGATTCCATGGAATCCAAGCTTTTNGCATATTTTGTAAATGTTAATGAAGGAGAGGTGTCACCGTGTCAATCAGTGACAGTAGAGGTCCAACTCCAATTACCTTCTAGAGAAAGCCTATGAGATTAGATAGGTTTTTTTAAGTTGAGCCAAGGCATGCAAAAGTATGGTTGGCTCGAGGCCTTTAATAAAAGATACCAAAATGCGACAATTGCTATTTTAAGGGGCATTTTGTGTACGTCATGAATAAATGGGGTTATAAAAAACTTACCATCTTATTTAATTTTTATTTAATAATAGTATCAGATTAATTTTATTGGGTGTGTTTAGTTTATTATTTTAGATGGAATTTTGGAAATAATATTGGATAGTTGGATAGAGGAGTATTACGAGGTAAAATTTAAAAATTTATGAAAAAGCCCATAGGTTTGCTAATTTAATTAAACACCCTAATATATAAAATGACAAAAACACTCTCACCACCTACAGTGCCAGATTCCTGCCACCACCGTCAGAATCTGGCAGGAAAATTTCGTTACAACACAAATCGGTCGGATTTGTGTCCTAACACATCGCTATGGCCTTTTCCGGCCAGATCCACCACAGATCTGGTCGGAAAAGGCCAGTTCTACGACTAAATATTGTCGTCGACAGCCGAAAAATGTCAAAAGAAGTCCATCTTTGGCCGTCAGCGATGACCAAAGATATGGCCATCGTTTTCGGTCAACGATGGCCAAGATTTGGCCGTCATTGACTGTCAACGACGGCCAGATCGGTGAACTTCCGACCATTTCTGGTCGACAGGTAGGCCGTTGTACAGATTCCGACTACCATCGACGATGGTTGTCGGAATCTGGCAAGTATGGGTCGCGGGGGTGTTTTTGTTAATGTTTAAACTTTTTTCAGGGGGTATTTAATGAAGTTAATAACCTTATGGGGTCTAAAAGTAATTAAAAAATAGGCTAATATTTCTGGAATAATGTGTCAAACATTATTTGGAGAATAGGATTGGGAATATGGACAGAAATAATAAGCCAAACGCATCCATTATTACTCCTATGGACGTGATGGGGACTTTTGAAAAGCATTTGGGCCCTTTGGTTCACTTTTTTTCCTCGTCTTATTCCACTATCCTATCTAATCCTATCCAAATACACATTTGTTTCAATATTTAAAATTCTCTTCAAAAGATAGCACTATTCTAATATTTAGATTATTTTAACCCTATAAATTTGTTAATTTAACTAAACCCCCAACAATAAAAGTTTATAATTGATAAAAACACCCTCACCTATCCACATTTGTCAGATTCTGGCTACCACCGCTAGAAAGTAGCTAGAATCTGCTCTAATAGCACACTACCGGCTAGATATGGTCGGTAGTGCACTGATCTGGCCTTTTTCGGCCAAATCCATTTGTCTATCTTAGCCATCGACAATCATATCTTGGCCGTCGTTTGACTGTCAACAACAGCCAAGTTGATAGCCAAAAGATCTGGCGGTCGTACATTTGGCCTTTTCCGGTGGATCTGGCCGAAAAAAGCTAGATCATCATAATACTGGCTAGATCCAGCTGATAGTGCGTCATTACGCCAGATTTTGACCACCTTCCGCAGTGGTAGCCAAAATCTGGCAAATGTGGGTGGGTAGAAGTGTTTTTGTTAATTTATAAACTTTCTTTTTATTAGGGGTGTTTAGTTAAATTAACAAACCTATGGAATTAAAAATGATCTAAATATTTTTCAGAAAATGCTATTATAAAATATACAAAAAACTTTTCAGAATACTATTCAACTCAAATTTTTCCAAAAACTATTCTAAAAACTTCCAAAATATTAAATGAAATGGAGCCTTTTGATTGCTTTATTAAATTACCAAAAATCTTAAGACTCCTTGATTAAAGGGTTTTCAATATTTTTTTAAAATGGTTATGACATTTGAGACTTAAACAAACGAAATTAATCCTAAAAGTATATATTAAAAGTATGAAATGATAAACTTTTTTATTATTATTATTAAAGAAATGCAAGTAGTGGGTCAATAATTTCTTGTAATGTTTCAAAAAGGTTTCAAAAAGGCAAAACTGTCTACAATATGAATATCCAGAGTCCAGACACGTGTAATGTGTTTGAGATTCATAAACCCTTGCTTAACTTTCACGACACAAATTATTATTTAATTAATTAACTTTAATTAATCACATAATACAATATTGTCAAATTTCCATGATTCTGGGACGGCTAATCTCGCCAAATTCAACCTTATTATACTCTTTGGTCACATTCATGACGTAATTTAATTAAATTTTCTCATATGGGTTAGGGAAGACTTTGGTTAAAACTTATAATAAAATTAATTAGTGAATTGATTCCATGGAATCCAAGCTTTTAAAAGAGGAATATACTGTTTCTTTAATTCGTCCATTAGCAAAAGGTCATTATGGGTGCGTTTGACTCCCTATTTTTATCCATATTCAAAATCCTATACTCCAAATAATGTTTAGCTGATTATTCCAGAAATATTATCCTATTTTTTAAATTACCTTTAGACCCTATAAGGTTATTAATTTCACTAAATACCCCCTGAAAAAAGTTTAAAAATTAACAAAAACACCCCCATCAACCCATATTTGCAGATTCCGACAACCACCGTCGGTGATAGCCGAAATCTGTACAACGGCCTATCTCCCGACCATAAATAGCAGGAAGTTCACCGATCTAGCATTTTCCGGCCATATCCACCACGGATCTGGCCGTCAACGATAGCCAAAGAAATGGCCATCGTTGACCAAAAATGACGGCCATATCTTTGGCCGTCGTTTTGGTTTTTTTCAGCCATCGACGGCCACAGCAGGCCGTAGATCTGGCCTTTTCCGGCCAGATCCGTGGTGGATCTAACCGGAAAATGCCATAAAGATGCGTTACGGCACAGATCTGACCGGTCTATGCCGTAACGAAATTTTTCGGCCAGATTCCAGCGGTGGTG